AATGCGTATATGTCTTCTTTCCTGCAGGCGAAAATGTGTCTGCACATTTTTGGGTAGGCCTGAGATGGACAATTTGTAGGGGAAAAAGATGTGTTGTTCTTTTTTTTTGTTCTTCTCTCTCTCTCCGTGTGTGTGCGTGTGTGTTTAGAATCGTCGCTAAAGACAAAGACGTTTTATTTTATTTTACTTTGTTTAATTATGTTTTTATTTTCATCAAATTTCCAGTGGTTCACAACTGCCTGGGCTGCAGTTTATTCCCAAGCCTCATCATACTTTTCGCATATTATTTCCGTCCTGCATCTCTGCTGTGTTTGTGTGTTGCCCCTACGTGCTTTGCTATTTCTTTCCTCCTCCTCCTTTTAGCGCGTGCCCGCAGCCACACGCACACACGCGGGACTTATTTACTGCGGCGCAAGTGAATGAATTCTTCGTGGTCAGTGGTGGCAGTGCCGCGTGTGGCTGCTGCCTCCTTCCATGGTGGTGGGAAGAAGAGGGGCACAGCGCAAGGGTGATTGGGCACAGTGGCTCCCTCTTTTTCGTTGCGAGTGCAGGGCGCTGCGTGTGGGGGTGTTGTTTTGAGGCGCGGCCCCATCAGCTACAACGGCGTGGCACGGAGTGAGCGGTTCCTCTTGTTTGCGGTTGCCGCCATGGGTGCGCCCTGCTTGTGCGTGGCCAGCGGGGCGGGTGTTCGCGTTTGGGTGTCTCGTGTTGGAGGCGGTGCGGTGCGGTGGTTTCCCGCGGCTGTGGAAGTGAACTGGCGGAGGTGGCTGTGTGTGTTGCCTTTTTCCTCCGTCGTGGGTGGCAGCTGGCGTTGCGCCGCTTTGGTGCGCGGTAGGCTGAATCCTTCCCATGCGCGGAATGACGGCACCGAAACTTTACATGTTTGCGAGTGCACTGCTCAGCTGTTTTGGGCGCATGTGCTTACGCAGTTATACGGGAACATGCGTCTTTGTTTGTGGGTCTGTTTCTCCTGAGCGTTGGCCGACTCCATTGGTTTAGGGCGTGTTGATGCGCAACAGCGGGTTATGGGGTTTGCCTGCCGCCGTTAAGTTTCAAAAGACACAACAATGCCATTTTCCCTGGGGTTGGTGTGGGTGGATGTGGATTTGGGATCAAGGCGTATCAATGGATAACTTGGCGCGCTTTGCGTGGCGCTGCTGCGTGGTGCAAAGGGCTGGGGCAGCCTTTCTCTTTTCCTTTTTGCCATCTTTTCACCACGGCAGCGGTAAGCAAGAGGTTTTGGCTCGCCATTTTTTTTTAAAAAATTTTTGGGATGATATGGGGAGTTGGGGAGCCTAAGGGCTGCAGGGGCGCCTCGTGGAGTTAAACGCACCCCGAGACCAAGGCGCCCTGTCCGGAGAGGGGCGTACGGCGGCGGGGAGACGCGTCCTGGAAGGGTTCGCGCCGGCCACGCCGAAGAGAAACCCCGGACGGTTCGTGGCGCCCCAACCCGCTTCCCCAGGGCACCCGACATACGTGGCTGGCCGAGACGCAGGGCCCGTGGTTGCTCGCGAATGGGGGGCGCCACTTCGAGTTTCCGGAGGAGGAAGCGGCCTACCGTCGGCGAGGCCACATCGCCCACGCCCGCCGAAGGAAGCTCTTGGAGGCGCCTTATTTTTCTCCGCAAACATAACCATTCTACCTCCGCACGCGTGGCTCCATCGCCCTTCCCGGGGTTCCGTTGCGTCGTCTTCCCCTTCCTGGGCGGAGGTAAGGGCTGAAACCGAACTCTCTCGCCTCGGCTGCCTCCCCTTCGAAAAGTGGTGGTGGTGGGGGAGAAATTGCGATTTGGTGTTTTTAGGGTACAGCGCGCCAGAAACGAGGGCGCGGAAGAAGCCGAAGCAAAACAAGACAAACGATCAAAGCAACAAACTAAAGGCGCTCCGCCTTCAGCAGGCCAGCGCCACCATCTTCTATGTCGCCGCCGGCTGTGGGCAAATCAGTGGCCGCGGAGACCGAACGGATTGCAAAACAACCGAGCCAGTGGCTGACCAAAGTGAAGCGCAGGCACCTCAAACCCCCTCAAAGCCAAATTTCGCTCGCCGGGCCGCAAGGGACGCACAGCAGAATAAAACGTGCCCCAGCGCCTCCTCACCCACGCCTCTTCCAAACCACGGCGCCTCTCCCCACCTTGAAACCCTCCTTGTAAAATCCGCCGGCATCGATGTCTGGTGTTCGCTCCGAGACAAGGGTGGAGAGGCAGTGCAGACGCCGCGCCTCTCGCCGAGAAAACCTCGACGCGAGTTCCCCACCTCCTC